GCCGCCGTACCGCAGAATGTGCACGAGTACGAGGACAAGGAGTTTGCCAACGTGTCCAAGGATGACCTCAAGCTGGGAGACAAGGATGCGGGGGAGAAGAAGGCGGACAAGAAGCTCAAGGTGGGGGCGGCATGTGGTGTGGTGTGTGTGGTGGTGGGAGGGTGTGGGGATGGGTGTGGTGGTGGCAGGTGGGGCTGTGTTGGTGGGTGGGTATGGTGGTGGTGAGTGTGGTGGTGGTGGGTGTGGTGGTGGGCGTGGTTGGCGTGGGTGCGACGGATTGGAGGGCATGACCAGCCAGCCCCAGCTGTCCGCCGCCTGCCCTTGCCCCATCACACATTCGCACGCACGCTGTCTCGCACTCTCCCACACACGCGTGTACTGCCTGTCTGTACCGCAGGAGGAGTTCAAGGATCTGGCCAAGTGGTGGAAGGAGAGCCTGGGGCCGGCGGTGGAGAGCGTCAAGGTGTCCAAGCGGCTCGCCACCACCCCCTGCGTGGTCGTCTCCTCCAAGGTGCGGCGGGGGGCTGCTGCTGCTGCGGCAGGTGGCGGCTGTTGCGGCTGGGCGCGTGTGGAGCTGCTGCTGCTGCTGGGTCTGCTGCCGCCGGGCTGCTGCAGCGGTGGCGCACGCTCGCCAGCCTGCCTCCCGCTGCCTGAGGTTGCGGCTGCCGAGACTCCGCCCAGTGTATCCCGCCCGTCGCTCACCACGCCGTACTGCCCGTACCGCCCCCGTACCGCCCCCGTACCGCCTGCAGTACGGCTGGTCTGCCACCATGGAGAAGATTGCGCGCTCCCAGACGCTGGGCGACAGCGAGCGGGCCAAGTGGATGCGCGGGCAGCGGACGCTGGAGATCAACCCGCGCCACCCGCTGATCCGGGAGCTCAAGGCGCAGGTGCGGCGCGCTGGGTGGAGGGGGGGAGGGGGAGCGAGAGGAGGGTGGTGGTGGTGGTGGTGGTGGTGTGTGTGCTCCTGCAGCCGGGGGGTGGTGGGCGCCTGGGTGGCTGTGCGGCTGCGTGCTGGGGGAGTCCTGCCGGGGGGGCTGCAGGCGCCAGCAGGGGCAGCAGGGGGGCAGCTTCCGTGCGGCCGCGCGCGCGAGCAGGCGTCCCTGCTGGCGGCACACGCAGCGCCAGGTCCCCCGCAGCCGTCCCCTGTGCAACCCCCGCTCACCCTCCTCTCCTCTACCCGCTCCCCCTGCCCCCGCAGCACATCGCCGACCCCGAGTCTGCTTCAGTCAAGGACAACGCGCAGCTGCTGTACCAGACGTGCCTGCTGGAGTCGGGTGCGCGGCCTTGCCACGCGGGCGGCGCCGCCTCCTCCTGCTGCCCAGCCCCCAATCCAAACCCCTCCCCCGCCCTGCCTCGCCCTCCCACGCTCACCCTGCCGTCCCTCGCTCCTGCGTTTGCTCCTCCTGTACGCACCCACCCTCTCCTCACCCTCTCCCCACCCGCCCTCCGCTGACCTTTCCCTCCTGTCCTCCCTGCACCTCCCATCTTCCACCCCACCTCTTGCTGGCTCACCTGTGCCCCCAGCTCCTGACCCCTGCGCTCACCCGCCCCTCCTTTCCTCCCCGACCTCCTTTCCTCCCCACAGGCTGTCTGCTGGACGACATGAAGGAGTTCAACTCCCGCGT